TGTTTAGAAAAAAAGGTCATGGAAGCAGGAAGCTCCCTCTGTGCCTGTTTCAGACTAACATTCTTGTATGCCAAACAGAAAGCATGGGTCCCCATTTGGCTTCTGTCCCCATTTGGATCTCAGGTAGGGGCCCCACACCCTTTAATAGGCAACTGTGGCGTCTCCTTGATTTTTGGTTCAGTCATGTATAGATTTGCTTTGCTTTGGCAGCTGCAGTCTTGACACCAGGTCTGTGCCATATCCAGCTGGACCTATGATGTGCCGTGTGTTCTGGGTAACTCTCCTTTGTTTCATCAGGAAAGACCATGATCTGGCCATCCCTCTTGCCCTGGAGTCGGAGAAGAGGAACACAGTCTCTCATTGCATAACACCGAGAGCTCTCGGTTGTTACACAGCATTACCGTGATAACGAGTGACTGGTGCACGTACCCTATTCAGCAGAACCATAAGCAGAGCCTGGGGAGATGCGGTGCACATTATCTATTATCCATAGAGGGACAAGGCAGCCTTTCAATGCATGTTTCTTGTTTGTTACTCCTTTGAAAATAAAAATAATTTATGTTCACAGATATTTTGGGAAAATAAATATTAAAAATCTGAGTAAGACCCTTATTTCCCTGACCAAGAAGACATTCTGTCCATATGGCTGTATCTATCCATATTTTATCTTTCTGTATTAAAATTGGTGACATGCTTGGTTTTGTGATCTTGTTCCAAAAGATCAGGGTTCATTCTAACTGTATGTTTGTGCTTTGCTTTTTTTTACATTTAACATTCAATCAAAAATTGAGGTCATGTAAGTCCTGAGTCAAAAGACATGAGTATTTTGAGTTGTTGACATATGTTACAGAAGTGCTCCTTTGGAATATTCCTTTTCTGTTCTTATCAGCCAGGTATGCCAATCCCTGGTCTTTTTGGTGTCAGCTCCTGTTATGTAGTGCACAATTCGCACAGAAAAGGAGCCCTGAGCTCAGGGATGCACCTACAGATCTGCCTGTGGATGGACAGACGTGAATACCCACCCTTTCTCCAACACGACCGTGCCACTAACCCACTCAGGTCACTCATGGCTTCCATTTCAAGGCCAGGGCTCCCTTCCCAATGACCTCGGGGTTCCCAATCAGAGCATCTCCCAACACAGATCAATTCCCCACATCAGTCGCCTCACAGGTGAGTGATTTACTCCTAAGCCTTCAAGATTCCCTATGAAGGAAATGCCCAGAAAATCACGGCTCCTCTTCCTTCATAAGGAGCCACCTCTCCATAGTGACAGGTGTTTATCTGAGTGGAGAACCTGAGAGAAGAGTGTGGGCACAGGGTCCCCCACCCTTCTCTCTCTCTCTCAGGTCATCCTCCCTGATGAGGGTGGTGGTCTTCATGTGCAGCCTTTGCAGCCAAGCCATGAACCTGACTCCTCTCAGCCAGGGAAGGCAAAGGCCGTCACTGCATCACTGAGGAGCAGAGGCAGGGGAAGATGGGGTGGCCCAGGGGACAGTCCCAGAGCCAAGCGTGCCCCACTCACAGCCTTCTCCCAACAACTGTGCCAGTAATGAAGGTGGTGTGTTGTCTTCGTCTGCTTCGCACTTCTCCTCTCCCCAGGTTCTAGACACAAGAGCAAAAGGGAAGCTGCTCTCGCACTCCGTAAACACCTACAAGACTCATTTGGGGGATGGAGGACAGCTAGACTAGGATTGGGAAAGAGAAGGAGCATGTGGTGAGTCTCTCTGAGTCAATGCAGACACCAAACAGCAGTGAGTCAAGAACTGAACAGAGGAGAAGTGACCCTCGGCGCTGTCCAGGGAGCTCATGCCTTCCACAGATAACGACCGGGAGCCCCTCAGTCCTGAACGTCTTTCCAAGGATCTGTATTTTATCTCCTCTCCATTTCCTTAGATGATTAAAACATCTGTTCTGGGTATTCTTCTGTGTGTGTAGTATTTGAATGCAGTATATACACGTGATGTGTATGCATATATGTGAATTGTGTGATATACACGTGTGGTGCAATCTACGTAATTTGTGACTTACATGTCTGGTTTATCTATGTAATTTGCATGTCCAACTTGTATTCTTGAATGCTGCACATACTTCGGCATGTTCTAGGCATGTAACACACGTGCTGTGTGTAGTAGGTCCGTGCGCTTGTATTCCCTGAGCGTGTGCTGCGCTCAGAACTTGGGAGCCTGCAACAGCCTTCAGGGTGACTTCCGTACAGTCTGGCCTGCAGGGGGCGCTCTGCACCCTCATGTGCATGCTGACACCTGGGAATGTCAACTGGGCCTTTCCTCGCAGGTGGGACGTCCGGGGGATCTTCCTGGCTTCTATTTGAGGGGATCTCCTCGGGCTGCGTTAAGATTGATTCTGGCACAGTGTGATGCTGCTAATGAAGTCCTGTCCCGCTTGCTTTTTGCCAAAGGACCATCTGGTTCGCAGAAGATGCTTCAGACCTTGTCATCGCCTGGTGGACTTGCTTTGAAGCACAGGGCCCCAAGGAATGCAAGAAACGAGAAAGGCTGGTGCCAATCATGCTGTTTACAATTAGGAAACACTCTTTCTTTATTAAGTGCAGCTGAGACGGTAAATAAAAATAACTTTGTGATGGTCCATAAGAGCCTGTGTGCTTCTTCCTCAAAAATGCCTTAAAAGAAAAAAATGTCAACACTTTGCAAAATAAATGCCTCCAACGTAAGAACCAAGTGGAAACAGCACAACTGAAGGAAGCCAGGGCCTTTCCCCTGGACCTGCAGCAGGAAGCGTGGATCCAGCACCTCACACTGTGCCCCTGTGTGCAGCTGCAGCCTCCTGAGTGACGGAGCCTGGCATCCTCTGGTTTCCTCCTAGGACTCTGCTCCCCAGGTCCTTCCTCAGATTCCTTGGTCCAGACCAGGATGGCAGTGCTCTTGTCTACCTGGCGCTGGGTGCCCCGCCCTGCAGCCCTTCGTGGGGATGTCAGGAGGGACTCCTTTACAGGCGCCATCAGCTCAGCTTCTGGGCTGCAGCCTCAGCCATTCAGAGTGGCTTAAGTAGGTTCTGACCAGCCTGTATCAGAGCCGCTGGCCCCCACAGCCTGGCTCTGTGATTACCTTCTTCACGTAAGGGCAGCCACTTCTGCGTGCAGACCCACGCTGCAGACCGATGTCAAGGTGTGCCGCTGAGCTTCCTGGCGCACACCCACGTCACCAATGTGCTGACAGATGAGTAGCTCAGCCCTAAAGAAGGGCCCAGCCCCAGCTCCCCCCATGGGTGTCTGTGTCTCCAAAGCAGAATATGCTCTCCAAAGAGACGTGTGGCCTCTCTGCTTTCTGCCTGTCTTCCGGCCAATATGCTTAAATCAACACACGAGAGTGGTACATTGGTCTTGTCAGGGAATGTTAAGAAATCTTTGATCCATTTGTTCTGGATTCTTTGAACTGCACAGAATTTCAACTTTTCCTGACTAGTGATAATCGAAAAAAATGCATTTACTAAGTTTTATATTGAAAGGAAAAGATTATAAAACAGCCAAAAACTTTAGAACCAAGTAAAACATGAGATTTCTGTTCTGATAGAAGACTTTCCAAAATTACAAGTGTTAGGGCTGGCCGGATAGCTCAGCGGATTAAAGCACCACAAGTAG